TATTTATTTATCTAGATTTCTTCCGAGCAATTTATTTATTTATTTATTTGTTTGTTTTTCGTGTTGGGGTTATTTTACGTTCTTTTTTCAAAAGGACTCGTTTCTTTTTATTCTATTTTTTATTTATTTTTTATTTTTTTTAATCTAAGAGGTAGATTACCAAAACAATGAGATGGTGTTCGAGGTGATTCCAGGTGTGAATCACAGGCAGGGTGTGTGGGGCAGCAGGAGGCGGAGTCTGGATACTTTCAACCTTCTTTAAAATAAAAACGGTGAATATTATCAGCTTCTCTGTCACGACTGCCCTCACCAACCTGCACCAGGATGTGTCCATACTAAGTTTTGTGTGTGCGTGACTTTCTTTCTTTCTTTCTTTCTTTTATTCTGTTTCCAGCTCAATTTCCAAGCTGAGGAGGTTCACGTTTCAAACCTGTAAAATAAATTAGTGAACACCTGCGTCCTCTTTTCTGTCTGACTGCTCATCTAGTTTTCATCAACTAAAGAAACAATCGTTGCTTATTCTTTGAGGTAGCATTACTAGTTATGTGTTAAGAGGTGTGTGTGTGTGTTTTTTTTTTATCGTTTGTCTCCACAGTTCATTGTTCCTCTGCTGTGTTTTATTTACGTCTCAGTTGGGAATCTGTTGGGCAGACTCTGCTGCCTCAAACAAGACTTTTTATTTCTAATTAGTTCACTTAGTCTCACTGTCCTTTAGGTTTTGCTTGTGTTCAGTTTACTCCACATACTTAACATTAGTGCTGACCGTGTTCATAACTGCTGCTTCAGCTATTTTCTTTCCTCTAAAAACGAAAGCATCAATTAAAAACTGTATTTAGCATCTACTCAGGTTATCTGTGAGGATCTGAAATGTGTCTTAAGTGAGCCGTCATGTTTTTGCCAACACATAAAATCCATCAATCTATTTTGTTGTTCATGACGTTTCTGAGCCTACATGTATGATGCGGTCAGTAAATGTGTTGGTGTAAAGAAAAACAAAAGGGGAGCTGTGCCCACGCTTGCATCCGTGACAAATAGCTGTTTACACCTGGTTTATGTTTCTCTGAATGCTGGTTAGAAAAAACAAACAGCACAGGATGGATATTCAGGTGAAACAGGAGTTTGGTTTCTAAAATAATTCTCTTGTGAAATTAGTAGAAATGAAAGTTGTGTTTTGGATGCAATATAACAAATCAAACACGCTGTTGAAGGTGTATAAAGGAGACAACGGGCAGCAGTAATACCAAGTATTTAAAGTAAAATGTGGATCAAGCACGCAAGATAAACAGATCTGATTGTTTAGGTTTGGAAATAGATCTTCAGTATAATAATGATGAGTTTTTATTTAGTGGCATYGCACACTGAAAAACTCCATTATCTGATATGACAGGTCAATATGTCACTTAACTTGTAGTCAAAAAAAAAAAAAACACTTTTTTAACTATTTAGGATGATCAAAGACTGGCAGAGAAAATGTACGAAAAGCCTTCTGACAACATTCTTCCCTAAAAAACAAATGATAGAGAGCACAGTGTCTGCCTATGTTTGAGTTTCACCCTAAACTGTTTTGTCTTTACTCTACAAAATAATAATAATAATAATTCTAATAATAAAAGAGATCATCTCCAGAATGAAACGTTGCTTCCACTCTGGAACATTTCTGAGTTCATCTTCAGACATTCTCAGTTAGTTCTGTGTTAATTTTGGCTCCACTACATGTGAAACTGAGCCCCTGCTGTGGGCGTGSTGCAGTTACTGTCCCGCTACGAGCTACTGTTAGTCGTGTTTAGTAGCTGTTGTGTTAATAGAATCACATTATATTCCAAAGAAAGAGAACAAAACATGATTAAATTATACTCTTTTTTTCTTATTACAGAAACTAAGAACGTTTGTCTAAAAAAATGCTTTTAAAAGGTTTTGAACAGCACTGAGCCAAACAAAAAGGATGGAGATCAGAGGAGGGTGAGGGACCCTGACACTCCAACCTGCTCCAAAAGCAAGTCGTTTTCTTTAAACTCAAGTAAATTAAAACACCTCTCTCCACTTAGAGAGCAGATGAAGAGCGGAAGTGGGGGGTGGAAATGGTCGGAGGAAAGAAGGTGGAGGGATAATGGAGTGTTTTTACACATTTCTACATCCAACCTCTGACCCCCACTTCCTCCAATCCTTCCCTCTCCTCCCCGTTTGTTCTGTCGTTTAGTTTTTGCATCAGTTTGAGTTGTTAGTTTGTTTCTGTCACCAATTAGTGCAACAGGTCATAACTAGATGTCGCGTCCGAATAAAGCTTGCTGTATTATCAACAATAAAATACAACCTCCACCCTGAAGAAGTCTGGGACGTTGCAGAAAACGTAAATAAAAAACTGAAGAATGTGCAAATCTCACAAACCTGTACTTTGTTCACAAGGAAACAGAGTAAATACAGTAAGTGTTTAAACTAAGAAAATAAAGTCATTTTGAATTGGATGTCTCAAAAAGTTGTTCCAGGAGCAGCAAAGGGCAAAAAGAAAGTGGTGCGAATAAGAAAATAAGAAAAGCTGGAGGAGAATTTCCTAACTGATCAGGTTAATTAGCAACAAATCAGCAGGATGGGCAGAGGTTCATCATCTCTCTTCTGCCAAAAACGGTCTACAAATAATAAAACTATTTCAGAATAAAGCTCCTAATGTGGAAAACTTTGAATCCCCACTGTTACCTACAGCTGAAAATCTCACCAACAGATTATTATAATCTGTATTAATCTCTGAGCTCAAAGGCTGAAAGTCGATATTGGATGGTCGTGATCTTGGCTGCATTAAACCCAGATCTGGTTCTGTTCTGGACTCAGGAACACTTCTGTTCATTACTGTCTATAAACACAGTCCACCATCCACTAATGCTGCTTAAAGCTCTATCAGGCAAAGAAACAGCCATATGTTAACACCTCCCGCTGCTGTACTGAAGAGGAGAGGAACCATCCCACATGTTTTCAGGGCACAATTAAAAAGTCTGCCTCTCTGATGGTATGGAGGTACACTAGTAGCTAAAGCACGGGCAGTTCACAAATCTGAAATAAAAAAAAGCCCACTGGGGCAAAAAGAAGTTTGTACAGTTTAGAAAAACACTATAGTCAGACCTCTCACAAACTGAAAACATTTGATGCATCATGAAACTAACAAAAACTTTAAAAAATCCAGCAAAGACAAAGAACGGTAGAAGAGTCCTACATCGAACCAGAACAGACAAGATGAACCTCAGATCCTGGATGTTTTAAAAAGAAATGCTTCGCAGAGGGAAACTTTTTCTTTAGACGTGTCGCAGCCTAAAATTCTAATTTAACAACAACAAAGAAAAGCTATTTACTTAAGAGTAAACATTTAATATATTTACTAAGTTCCACTGTAAATCAAATATGGTTTATGAGGTTTGTTAATGATTAAGTTTTGTCGTATTTACATTTTAAACAACATTCTAACTTCCTTGGAGGCGAGGTTATGGAATCGAATCAGTTCAAATATCTGCAGGCTGAATGTTGAATCCTAAATAGTGTCTTGGTGGTTGTGAACAAAGCTCTATGGTTTGGAAAAAAGGTGGAAACGACACAAAACGATCAGACTGAGCTGTGAAGTTAGCACCTCTGGGTCAAAATGGAAGCATCAACATGATGGAATAGATTTTGTGTTGTTTGCTCAGGACCTATTCTCTTTACAGATTTCCTACTCTGGATTCTTTTTTTTTTTTCTTAAAAAATACAAAAAGTATTGTGATCTACCTGTACAGATTTGACTTGATTATGAAACTGCTCCCATTTTTTCCAAAAGATTCCTGATTCTCTCCATCCTGTCAGTTTGCAGATGGATGGAGGGGCCATAGGTTCTCATCACTTCTTTCTGCTTTCTTTTTTTCTTTAAGTTTCACCCAACCACAACAAAGACATAAAAAATTACATTAGATAAAAAAAAAATTACATTAAAAAACTTTGAAAAGAAAATCTCTCACAAGTGCATTCACACAGAACCAACAGAGAGCAGGTGGGGGGCGGGGTCCTGGTCGGTGCACAGGTAATAAATATTCACATTCAGAGACATCAGAGGTAGCTAACCCTCTCGTGTCTCCACAAATAGATGGGCCGCAATGTTGTGACCAGTTCTCACACCCCGGCCGACCACAGGGGCGGGGGGGTTCACCTTAAAGCTCACGATCACGTCCTCTTTGTGGGACAGAAGGCTAACATGGTGTTAGCTGCTTCCATGTTGGCGTTACAGTAAGGCACACGAGGAAAGGCAGTGCCTCACCGGGCTGCTCGTGTTCAACACCAGCTGGTGCCACAAAGCACTAATTAAAAACAGGACTCTCCGAGTTCTGAAACAAACYGGTTTGAGACGGCTCTGCAAGAAAGAACATTTGTCCCACAAAACCCAAGAGCTGAAGTTGCTAACAGTCACAGCTCGGTGAGGAACGACCTGAAGGTCCCTAAGGGTTCGTGACAGACCCACAGAGAACCAGGCTGTGTTCACAGATGGAGCTAATCTGGATCTTCAGAAAGGTTTGTAAAGTCAATCACAGAGTCTCACCTTCGACACCGTCAGACCCCCGACCCCGTCTCGAGGTAAAACCACTCCCTGATGGTTAAATTATTTTTTTCAGTTCAGTCAACAGCTGCACCAATCACACTTCAGGAAGATGAAAAGCAAGTTTCTTCAACTAAAAAAGGCTCCGTTTCAATTTCCTGGAACAGCATTTTACCTCTGTTAGAAAAAAAAAACAGCTTTCAGATCAACCTGGACTCATTCAACCAAAAACAAACAAAAACAACAAAAAAAAAGAAAGGAAAAAACAAAAATAAAAATAAAAAAAGGAAAAAAAATGAAAACAAGACTAAAAAAATACTTTTCTTAAAAAATAAAAGAAAAAACTATTCAGGACTATCAGCTCTTATTTTGTTTCTTCTTATATAAAACAAGCAAGCAAAAACAAATTAGCAATACTGAGGTAACTTTACCCTGAGGTAGGTTTTTTTCTTTCTTCTTTAATCTGTTCTAATCTGGGCTAAAGCGTCGACCCAAACCCTCATTATCATACGCAGGCAGGGTGTGGAGGCTTCGCCCACAGGCCTTTGGCAGAGCAGGAGAGGAAAWCCCAGAAACTGCTTCTGATCCAGTCGGATCTTTAAAAAAAACGACTGCTGAGCTCACGGTGAGGAGTTTTGGAAGACTGAGGCCGATTGTCTCCTCAGAGGCAGTTTTTATCTTTCAGTGCAGGGATGTTTCCAAACACGGAGGAGAACGTCTTCCTAAACATGAACATCCTGTGCAGGGAGAGTGCAGTGATCAGAGAAGCTCAGACACTCAGTCTGTCTGTCACTGCAGGGCTTACTGATGCAGCAGAACCACACACTCCCCTCCCTGGCTTCAACACGGTGCACCCGAGGGGCCGGGCTAACTCACATATCATATATATATAATATATATAAAATATGCCATATAAAGGGCGGGCTGCAGGCCAGCGGGCATAGCTGCTGGCAGTAGTTGGTCTCTGACCCGGGCCAGCTGAGCCCTGCATTAGAACTGCAGGCCTCGGCTGCGACTGCCGCCTCCCTTCCTGTCTCTGGCTGCGCCGTCCACCACACAGCAACGTGTGGGAATGGGTGCCTCGYGCAGAGGCCCCGCCCACACAGAACAACCCCAATAATCTAAAAAAAATAGAAAATAAAAGGCACGGTGGTCCGACGCAGCGTCATCGTTAACATGAAGATTAGATATTTACAACCTCATATTTTCTTCGACTCTCTCTGCTGTTCAGAGAGGTGTGTAAAGAGCAGTGTTAACATCTGCGGCCCCTCTTTGTCGCTCACCGTGTAGCCTGGAGGTACCCCCCCMACCACCAACAACAACTCCTGAGCTTTTGCAGCAGTTTCCTCACTTCCTCTCCTGGCTTGGCCTCACTGCATTCTATCAATAATAGCTCTGAATAAAACATTTCTATACATATATCTCTATGTTTAAAAAAAAACCACCTTTAAAATAAAGGACTGAGTGCAGATGGTCGGAGAGGTGTGTCCAGAGAGGGAGAGGGTTCATCACTCCTGGTGGTCCTCCTCGTTCATCTGCAGGTGGTTTTTAACAAAACTCGGTCAGAAAAGAAYGAGCCGTGTTGTTTTAAAGCCCCCTGCAGCAGGAGGAGGAGCTGGCTGCACCAGGAAGACTCCGCCCCCCCTCCTCTCCATCCCTGTTGTGTTTCATCCCTCCATCTGCACTCAGTCTTTCCTCTGGCCTGGCACTGGGTCTCAGTTTTCAAGTTTCTTTAACCTTTATAATCATTTGTTTAATATTYCTTTCATCTTTGATTTTTTTTATTCTTCTGTCTGCTCTCTTCTCCGGGTCTGTGTGTCACTCTCCTGTGTTTGTCCGTCAGTCTGTCTGTGCACGTGTGCGRCAGGCAGGGGCTGGGGGGGCCCACGTCGTGTGAGGGACCCTCACTTCCTGCGTGGCTGGTGTTCCTGAGTCAGTCCTTGTGTCGGGCTGCCCATCTCGGTGAAGCCCTGAGGGTGGGGGCTGGCGCTCACGCCCATCCCGCCTTTCTGGGACATTTTGACCTGGGTCAGGATGTCYCGGATCTTCCTCTGAGCCAGCTGGAGGGGGGACAGAAATTAAGAATTTAACCAGAAAAACAGGTCAAATATTCATAGACAAACTTTTTCAGGGCAAACACATTATATATTTGTATGAGTAATCATTTTGTAAAAATATATATATATACACACTATATACTGTAAGTGTGTATGTTTGTGTGCAAGTGTGTCTTTTGCACAGCACAAAATAACTTGAAACTACAATTTTCATTTGTTAAGATTSACTGATTTCTTTTTTAAAATTACTATTTAATTCAAAGAGAGACTGAATCAGAAAACAACCCGTTGTTTTTCCCCCCTCAGGTTTACAGTTGACAGAAACCTATCTGTCATGGCGAGATAGAGAACTTTAAGCCCTGCAGGAGCCTCATCTGTCCTGTTAGTAGAACAATTTGACATTAGTTTTGTGTCACTAGGTCACATGATCTAGAAGTTWTTGATTTTTGTTTCTTAAGAGTTTCTCAATCTGCTGGAGGGRGCTGACRAACTGTAGATAGTCAGWGGAAGTGAWAAATGGCCCAAATCTAAGGTTTRWGAAAGCTCTCATMGCCCTGACAAGGACAACTCTAASCACACTGGTTGGAGTCCYAACTGGGCACAATCTACTCAACCACCACATAATAGTGATGAGACTCMATGACAATGGTCTGTGTGATGCCTGTGGCATTGAATGAAGATTTATTGTTTATTACTGATTTTTAATGCACTTCATATACTGTTTTTACCTAGAAAAACGATCGTATTTATTTGTGTATAATATGATCTCATGTATAATAACCCCCCCCCCCTATTTTAGCTTAAAAAGCATAAAAAATTAAATTCTCATACTAACTCTAATTTCATAAGGACTTCAGGATGTTTCAGCCTTTGCWGTCTTTATACATATCAGTAAAATTATCAGACTGTTGTGTCAGTTTTTGTTTTAATTTTATTTTAACAACTTATGTACTAAAAGGTACACAACAACATCGTATAACAATAGCTACAACAAAACCTATAACAATAACTACAACAAAACCTATAACAATAACTACAACAAAACGTATAACAATAACTACAACAAAACCTATAACAATAACTACAACAAAACCTATAACAATAACTACAACAAAACCTATAACAATAACTACAACAAAACCTATAACAATAACTACAACAAAACCTATCAATGATAAATTTAGCAATGCTCAT